GTGGCCCGGCTGCCGCCACACTGAACCGAGTGGTGCCCACGCGGTGGCTGGCCACGTTCTTCTGCGGCTGGAAGAGTATGATGTGGAGCTTGGGGGTGAAGAGGCAGCCGAGGACCACAGTGCCGCTGAGGCTCACCGAGATGCACATGGTGGTGGTCTGGACCTGGAGACAGGGGTGGGCGTCAGGTGGTCCTACCACCAGCCCTCTGCCCCGAGCTCAGCAGGATGAAGCCCTCACTGTGGCACTGGCCAGCCCTGGTGGGCAGGGGCTGCTGCCTGCACCCTGCAGGGACATCCCACCCCAGGTCCCTCCATCAGGGTGGACCCGCTGGACACCCACGGGGAGAGGATGGGCACTGCCCTGATGTGGACGTGCCACCCCTGCAAAGCCAGGCACACCCTGAGCAGCACCCCCAGACTTGCCAGCATGCTGCTTTGGGGCAGCGCCTGGGGCCAGAGCCTGGCACCCCCCACCCCAGGGCCCACTCCCACCGGGGGATGCAGATCCTCTCTGGAAGTCCCTGACTGCAGCTGCCCACACCAAGTCCTCCAGGTCCGGGAAGAACATGTCTAGGGGGTCTGAGGTCCTGCGGGGCCCACCCCATGCTCCCCAGTCCCTGGCACTGCTCAGGTCCCCAGGGACCATTCTGGCATTCATGCCCTGGGGGGAAAGTGTCTGGATGGGCCAGGGGCTGTCTGCTGCCTTCACGTCGTGAGGCTGAAGGACGGCCAGCAATCACTCCTCCATGGTCAGTTTGGGGTGGTGGGTGGTGTGTCTCTGGAGGTCTCAGAGCCATTTCCCATCCTCACCCTAGCCAACAATCTGTCAAGGGGGGAGGCGGGATCATCTTCATGAAGACTCATTGCCCCCTCAGCCACAGCCCTTCACCTACCCTTCACCTGGTTCCGAACACCCCAGTGCAGAGGTGACCATCACCAGGTCCATGGCCAAAGACACCTCCCCAGGCTCACACATCTCCTAGCCACAAACCCTGCAGGGCCCAAATTGCCACGACCACTCAGTTCAGGCCCTATTGGAGCCCCCCAAAACTCAGGCTCTTACTCGGTAGTCGCTGGAGGTCACGTAGAAGATGGGCAGGAAGGCCAGCCAGATGATGCAGGTCGTGTACATGGTGAACCCAATGAACTTGGCCTCATTGAAGTTTTCAGGGCATTTCCGTGTCTTGAAGGCGTAGACCGTGCAGAGGACAATCAAGAGGACATTATAGGTGAGTGAAATGAGCATGTTGGAGTCACGGTTGTTGCACTTGAGGGTGACGATGTACCTCTTGTCAGGCTCGGTCTCCTTGCCTGTACCAGGGGTCTCCACCAGCAGCCAGATGATGACAATGATCAGCTGGCAAGAGATGAGGGCCATGCAGATGACCACCTGCGATGTGGGGCTTATGAACCGGGGACGCTGGACCCCCTCCTTCACCCCGCTGAAGATCCTGGCGATGCGATTCGTCTTGGTCAAGAGGGCCGAATAGCAGACAGCGAAGGACGTGCCCAGCCCCAGGCGCCGGAGCGTGCACACCTCAGTGGAGGGCTTTGCAATGAAGATGAAGGTCATGCTGTAGCACATGAGGACCCCAGTCAGGAGAATGTAGCAGAGCTCCCGGCCGGAGGCCTTCACAATGGGAGTATCATTGTTCTTCATGAAGACTCCAAAAACGAAGAGGGTTGAGATAAAACCCAGGCAAGAGATAGTGACGGGACCAATGGCCCAGACATCTTTCCAGCGGATGTACTCTTGGGGCAACTCGTAGCAGCCATTCAGGGTCTCGTTGGGCCAGTAGCCAAGACCACAGTCCATGCAGGTGAACTCATCCAGCAAGTACTCGTAGGGCTGGCAGGGGATGCAGATCCAGCAGCATATGTCTCCAGGCTGCATGCTCTTTATCTCATTCTTCTTGCAGGGGTCGCTGCACTGGGACACAGGGATGGACATCTCAGCCCACGGGATGAGGCTGGTGTTGAGGATGAGTCCCTCAGCCCAGTAGCCCACCTTCTGGTACCGATACCGCCCGTCCACGTGGTGATAGTTGAAGATGTTGTAGCGCCCGATCCCGTCGCCATAGCGGTCAAATCGAACGACACTCTTGGTGTCTGCTGGCCTGAACGGAGCTGGAGGGAGGAGAAGGGGAGACGGTCACTGCCCTGGGGCAGGAGAGCGCTTGCTCCCAGCGTGGAGGCAGGGGTCCTTCAGAGGGTCACATCCCACCATGGCCACAGGCGAATGTCCAACCCGTTCCCTGCCTTCACTCTCACACTTGCTGTCTATGCACACGTTAGGAGCAGGAAAGCAAAAGTGGAGAACTACCCTCCACGTGCCGAAGAGCTCGGCAGCCCCAGCCAGCTCTGCAGGGGCGAAGCGGGGGATTTTGCAGCCTCCATGGCTCTCAGTGACACCTGGGTAGCCGGGCTTAGCCCAGGTCACGGAGGACACGCTTCTAATTCACCCCACTATGTGGGTCCCTGATCAAGGGTATCCCTCCTGTTTAATCCCTGAAATGTGAATAAATCACGACGCTTGCAAGTGAGGTCTCCAAGGACCCATGTTCTTGGAGGGTCCCTTGTGGGGGCTGGTCCCACCCAGCTGCAGCAGGATGGAGTTGGTCACCAGCTTCTCCACACTGGGGACAGAAGGCCTGGATTGCCTCCCAAGGGTGATGGTGGGCTGTTGGCATCCTGGGATGACCACAGCCCGTGGCACAGGGGTCCCCGGGTGTGGGCAGGCTGGAGGAATTGGAGGGTCTTGGGTCAAATTTGGGTCTCCTTCCTCTTCCCTGCCCCTCCACCCATCCGTTTCCAGTTAGGCAGCCAAACCCCATCTCCATCTCTGGACTCACCATCAAAATTAACATTGAGCATAAAGTCCTTGTAGAACCTCTTGCCATTGACGGGCTTCATGGCGTCACAGAGCTTGGTGGCATTGGGGCACAGCGCCTGGTGCATGTTGTGCAGAGAGTGAGCCATGGCATAGACTGCATTGACCACGAATGTGATCTTGGACTCTGGCTCAAACTTGCCTGTCTTGAGGGAGTACCAGCTACAGTCCTGCGTGTGGAAGCTGCACTTGAACTTCTGCTCCCAAAACTCCCGAAACCAGGGATTTCGGCTGTTATTGTAGGGGTGGAGGTTACGGAAGTAGGTAGCAAACTCTTTAATGGGGTAGGCAGCCAGCTCGATGGTGATGGCTCCTTCCGCCACCGCTTCGCTCCCAGCCACCACACTCTCCAGGGCTCCCCACCCATCACTGGCCACCCACATGAAGGACACGTTGGCTCTCTGGGCAGCCGTCAGCAGCTCCCGGGCATCCTCGCTTCGGGTGAACAGCACGACCACTCTGGCATTGGGCTTCTGCAGCAGAGCCCGGACCACTCCGTCGTAGGTCTTCTTGTTCATGGAGCGGCCCACCTTCTCCGAGGTGGCAATGCAGATGTTGCGCATGCGGGCTTCTTGCTCAAAGGCCTCGATCCCTGTCTCCCCGTAGTCACCCTCCGAGGCCACGGTGGAGACGTAGGTCCAGTTGAAAAAGCGGAGGATCTCTGCCATGGCTTTGGCTTGGTAGAAGTCTGGTGGGACAGTGCGAGCGAAGTAGTCGTAGCGGGACTTGTCGCTGAGCTTGGCGCTGGTGGAGGCATAGCTGATCTGCGGGATCTGGAAGAGCCGCAGCAGGTTGGCCACCTGCAATGGAGGAGGAGAGGTGGGCGCCTGAAAACGTGGCCC